ACACCAGTTAATTGAGTTATTCCCAACATCACTCCAGCAAATACGATAATCAGTGATGTGGATTAGTCGAGAGCACATATGATTTGAACTGGTAGTATACCGCTAGAGCAGGCCTGCACTGGAGGGATTACAGGTAGCATGAGACATGAGAGTGTAAGGAAATTAAGACCGCATTTTACTTGACCTTAGCGACGACGGAAGGAAGTTGAGTGGTACATGGTCTTTTATGGAGGGTGTGGGTGGACATGAGGTCTGTGGGTGTGTGTATGTGTGTGTATGGGGGGGGTGTATTTATGTAGTGCTTAATAGAAGTTCCGCTGCCTCTACTTAATTGCAATGTGTTATTGTAATGTTTGCCAATCACGTTTTAATTAAGTCGTGCATAGATTGACTGTGGTACCCATCTTTTTCCAAAGACTGTGTTTGACATAATATTATCTCATACCTCTGTATTCTTACGCGTATATGTTCCCTTCCACTGTCATAGCCAACAAAAATATTGCTAATTAACTTACCTGAATATGGAATTTCGCCTATAGCGGCTCTACTTAAAAACAACATTTTTTATTAAAATCCCTCAATTGTTTGGACCCTTGCATCAATCTGATACATAGAGATGTAAATTATAGTTATAAAGGCTAATAACAAGTTTATGGAAATACGGTGATTAAATAACACGTGGTCGCTCTATGATCTTGTCTAGATTAACGACCACTGTCATTTTTGTGTAGAGTGGAAACTATGTATTGATGGTGTTTCTTATACCTGGTAAATGTTAAGAGTAAAAGATCTTTTTGATTCTCGCATACTCAAAAGTGATTAGCAATCATATGCTCATAGGCCAAATTAGAAGCTGATGGGTCTTTCCGCCTAGAGATGAGATTTGATTACTGATTCCATCTCAGTAATTGCGTTGATGTTAAGAGAAACATATATGTCCAACACGGAAACCTTATTTACAAACAGGGAGGCTCTTCCAGTGTACATATGACCTCTCAAACTAAAATTCAAAGGACAAATATAGGTCATATAAGTGATTAAAATTAATAAACTTGGAGTCCTTAGTAGGACGTTCTCATTTAGTTTGACCTTCTGTAAAGGAAATTCCGGTCGAGAATCGTATCTTAGTAAGATGTGTACTCACAATTGGGATAGCCGTTCAGAGTTAGAATTAACCTAGCTTAGATGTGTTTCTACATACTTAGGATATACATTCAGCATTAACTATTTCATTATCTCATTCAGTATTTCCAAAATTAATTCAGGCATAGTTTTATGAAAGACGTTTTTTCATGTACTCTTTACTACCAGCAGTCCAGACTACGGAAGATATGAACGGTGTATGTAATCACACATACATAAATAATTGAACTTTACTATTCGGATTAAACGTCAGATTAAATTGGTTTAGGATTTTTTTTTTCATCAGCATAAAATCTGCCCCAGGATATCTTCCGATAAGCAATTTCGATGAAAGGATACCTGGCTGGGAAACCATCGCTCAAAGTAATGGAATTGGGTACAGCTCATACACATGTAACCGATGAATATATATACTTTCTTTTGATCACTGTTGTAGTTAACAGTTCGCAGAAAAGCATCTCGTATTTCTTGAACGGAGATGTTCAAAGAATTGATGGACCGTGTACTTACGAACCCACGGATGCGCTTGGTCTTTCTTTTTCTCATTTTCTTTCCCTTCTTCCATTTCTTTGAACTCGATGACGAGATGTCATTTTTCTAATCATTATAAAGTCCTGGATGTATATGCACTCACTGAAGGGTTCAAATAATTAGTATGTTTGTCGTGATAATGAACCCTGCAGTTTCAAATAGTTTGATACATATTTTCCTCTTCTTTTCAGGTGGGCTGTATAAGGTACAGACCACCTTATAATTTCGTTAAAATTGCCTTTATTTATTTATTATTTATTATTTATTATCAGGTGGGCTGTATATCGTACAGACCACCTTATAATTTCGTTAGAATTGCCTTTATTTATTTATTAAATATTTTTCTTATTTCTAACCACTTTTTTGTGAACAAGATAACACGAAAATGGGTCGATCAAAATCCTTGAAATTTGGCACACATATGTAAAGGCATATGTACAAAGCACAATAACGTTTTCAACATTGACCTTTACTGATGACGTCATCTAGGCACCATTTTGTAAAATTTTACGTAAATCAACTCATGATAATATCTTCATAACCAAAAGCTATTTCTCATTCATATTTATCATGATCAAGGTCAATATCCGTCCGGTCAATTTAAGGTCAAATAACAAGCGCGTGCGCGTACGTCCGCGCGTCAATGCGCGCGCAAAATTTTAAAATGCTCAAAATCGTCTCAAAATCATTTTACATACGTTTTAGGCCATTCTAAGCATTTTATTAAAAAAATCGCGCACACGCAAATGCGCGCGCGTTTTCGTGCGTAACACCATTACACAACATAGAATCGCCATTTTTTTTTCATGATATTTCTCATATTTTTTCAAGGAATTTGATACCATGTTTATCTCTTTATGACCATTAATAACAAGATGAGCGTCAATTCAAGAAAAATGTCCATGCGCGCGAGCTCTTTTAATACATAGCATATATGGGCAAAAACATGCCTATACAAAATCCATTATAGCTCTTTGGAATGAACTGTGACCTTCAATTTTTTTTCATATTTAGATGGAGTATGAGTCGAAGATATGATTCCATGTCTCATTTGGCCATTAAGTGTATCGTGACATCATCATGGCCTTGGGACTCAAAATACGAATTTGCATATTATGAAGTCAGCATATTTATGTAAAATTGATTGTATCTCTGTAAATGTTGATCGATTTTCTTCCAAATTTCGATATGATGTAGCTAAGACAATTCTCTACAAGCTCAGTCTTTTCCATTTTGATCACGTTATCATAGTGAAAATTACGATTAAAGGGCACATATCAGAAATTTATTAAGTTGCGTGTTATGCCTAAGGAAGGTGAATTTCTTTCACATCATTGATCTATATGACATTGTTTTTTAGCAGTATCTCGCTTATTTTTGCTCTATTTTGTGTCAAATTTTAGTTGACCAGCCCACCTATACTTGTTCCAAACAAGTATTATATGTCTAGTATATTTTTCTTATTTCTAACCACTTTTTTGTTGGCAAGATAACTTGAAAATGGCTCAATCAAATGCCTTGAAATTTGGCACACATATGTATAGGCATATGTACAAAGCACAATAACATTTTCAACATTGACCTTCACTGATGACGTCATCTAGGCGCCATTTTGTAAAATTTTACGAAAATCAACTCATGATCATATCTTCATAACCAAAAGGTATTTCTCATTCATATTTACCATGATCAAGGTCAATATCCGTCCGGTCAATTTCAGGTCAAATAACGCGCGCGTGCGCGTACGTCCGCGCGTCAATGTGCGCGCAAAATTTTGAAATGCTCAAAATCGTCTCAAAATCATTTTGCATACGTTTGAGGCCATTCTAAGCATTTTATAAAAAATCGCGCACACGCGCATGCGCGCGCGTTTTCGCGCGTAAAATTATTGCACAACATAGAATTGCCTTTTTTTTTCTTTCATAATATTCCACATATATTTACAAACAAATTGATACCACGTTTGTCTCTTTATGACTATTAATAACGGATTGATCGACCGTTTAACAAAAATTTCCGTGCGCGCGAGCTCTTGTAATACATAGCATATATGGGCAAAAACATGCCTATACAAAATCCATTGTAGCTCTTTAGGATGCAAGGTGACCCCATTTTTTTTCATATTTTAATAGAGTATGATTCGGAGATATTGTTTCATGTCTCATTTGACCCTCAATTAACTCATGACGTCATCATAATGGCCTCCGAACTCAAAATTCCAATTTGCATATTATGACGTCAGCATATTTATGGAAAATTGATTGTATCTCTGTAAATATTGATTGATTTTCTTCCAAATGTTGATTATGTTCTAGCTGAGACAATTTTCTACAAATGCAGTTACTATTATTCTTCATTTTGACAAAGGCATCATGGCGTATTTTTGCGGTTAAAGGAGGCATGTCAATTTTTTACATTTTGCGTGTATTCTCTATGTGACATGACTTTTTCTCAAAACTCGATTCTACATTCCCGTCTTTCGCGAGCAATATGTACGTCGTTTACGCTGAACTTCGAGTATGTTGTAGATGAGACAAAAAGCTATCTCAAATGTACCCTTTATTTTGTCTCAATTTTTTGTTGGATCAGCCCACCTATACTTGTTCCAAACAAGTATTACAAATCTAGTTTAGTTTTATTTTTCTTCAAACAGTATATGATTTTTTGTGTTGATTGTATACGTCATTGAATATAAGTTTATAGTTTTAAGGTTGAAGCGCATTTCCCGAAATCCTACCATTCTACCAGTCTACTAAATTGTCTTTCTTTTCGCCTATGATACGTGCATTTATTTTGCGGTCTTCCAGAGAGTTTACACATTGCTTCTGTGTTATTTCAAATCCAATGGGCATAAATACAGATTCATTGACGATCATTTGATCCATTGGCAAACAATGGTAAATCTCTAAAAGTGATTCTGACACCAAGCAGAGATTGGAAGCATGATGCAACCATCTAGTCTATCACAGTTACCCTCATTTTCGATACACATCAATGAAAAAGATTTACAAAGAAGCTATGACCAAATTGTTAGATCCATTGGATTGTTCCTGATCCATCTTGATTTTGTTATCTGAGTACGTTGCAAACCATTCAATAAACAATTAAGTATTGCAGGACCTGTAGGGTTATTAGTAGCGATGTAAAAATAAATTGGGTATGATTAAGACTTTATTGGTAATGCCTCTTGCTTCTGAATTTAAATCACAAATCAATGATTTTCATGTTGATGTTATTTCTCTTTCTCTTATTTATTTTCCATATCTCCCAACAACGCGTCATCTTGCTGATCGAATATACCATCCACTATCTCGACCAATCTTCAGGAGATGAATCGGGGCGTTCCCTCGCAGATTCCGCGGGTGCTGCTTGCAATCTCACTGGTGCTCCTCGTGTGCCTACCCGAAATCAGCCACGCAGATAGGGCGTGTTGCAAGCGGACAGTGGGCTGCAACCTCAGAAGCGATTGTACATGTCGGATCCGTGAGATTACGTGCACAGACCCGTCTCTTGGCCTACAAAATTATGGTAAAAGATCACCAGCCAGGTCACCAACATACTACGATTCATATACACCGATTCTAGAGAGGATAGCGGAGTTGGCATCACTGCAACAAGATGATAGGTGGAAAAGGAAACGATCGTCTTCTTCAAGTAGTCGGTACCCTTTTTATGATTACAATATGAGGCCATTTTGACACTGGTATATGCTTTTCTTTTCATTTAATTTTTTTCTGTGTCGCTTTATACATAAGAAAGAAATGTAAACTAGAATTGAGATACTATTTTCTGATTGAACACTTATTAGAAAAATATGATCTTATGTGCCAGGCCATATTCTAGCATTGTATAATGACGACGATTGAAGCGATCGGAATGTTGCTATATTGGCAGTTCCAAAGATCTGTTGAATAGTAATAAGAGATCTTGTTAAAGATCCAAATGTCTTATTGTCCATATCGAAAAGTACTGATACAGAATCCTAATTAATGCTTTATATGTGCTTGAGTTATTTTTGTCTCTAGTCCAAAAGTTCATGTATTCATTTCTCTGTAGAATAGTATATCGCCATGTGCAATGCCATTCATAACGAATTGGAATTCCTTCTTATGTCTTTTGTCCCGCAGCTATAGAAATCTCCTTTGTATGTGTTTATTGTATTCTTTCGTTCTTTTGACAGGTATTGTAAACAAAAAAGTTATCTCTTGATGAGAGGCCTTTTGAAAATCTCTAAACTATACCCCGTTGGAAAGTGAATATCAAAATTGAGAGTGCAATCGGGATTTTTTCTTCTTAATCATCCCTAATATAAAGATATGGGTAAATATATATTATTGATGTCTAATAAAATGCAATTGCCTCATTCAATTACTTATTTTTATTTGTTTAATATTAAATTGTATATTACGTCAACTCCACCATGAAAAATCAAACCAGAAAAGTGATTAAGTACAAATGTGTACACACTCACAGTCTTATTACGAAAGTTGGTGCAAACGAATGTTAAGAAACTTTATAAAAAGATGTGATATTTTGCTGTTCATTACGAGGGAAATGGTGAAACCATCGATAAATTGTTGAGTTTTAATTGTTAAGCCTTTCTTTTTAGAGCGAGTGTCTCACCAATTAGTCTTTATCATCTCAATGACAACTATCAGTCTTATAAATTGTGATTTTTGAAGTTTGCACACGCATCTTATTGATTGTAAAATATTATGTAATCTGATTCTATTGCTGCAGCTGTTTCAATTTAGTAAAGAGATAACACATTCAGTTTAAAAGTCATTCGAAGAGCATTGAAACTCAACTGGATTATAATGGACAATGGGGGGATACAAACAACAATGTAATTCAACCTGATATATGCCTAAAGTTATACTATTTAGTTCACCTGCATGGTTAACTTGTTAATTTCTTTACATAAACATCGGTCAGAAAAAGCAAATCTCACTCATGACTACAAACATTTTTGGATTGGTTTTATAGAATGTTCAGTTCAGTAAAAACTTCTATCGTATTTAAAAATAAATCCAGAGCTAAACTACACGTTGCTCATGTGCGATAGCAATTCAGTATTTCAATCAAAGAAAGGGGACTACGAATTTACATTTTTCATGCCACTGGCTACCTATGTTTTTCTGGTAGTTGTTTTATGGGTAATTATTTTAAGTGCTGCACGCACGTATTACATGTTAGAAGTAACCAACATCGACTCGTGTAGATGTAAAAAGATCACTATGCCCATTCTATCATGAAATAAAGTAGGGTCAAGGTTGATAGACACTGAATGTCAGTGATTCATCTCGAAATACTATTTGCTGTCCATCAAGTAAAGCTTGCCCACTTTACGCGGTCATTTGGGACTGCTTAATAATTTCCTTTGTCAGTTGTCCTGATCAGGGTTATCTGTTACGTCTTCAAACCTGATTGAACATCGATGTAAAGAGAGGATGACTCCCCAAAGGGATATTGCTCTCTCCTTTCCCGAGAAGTAAAGCATTTGTGACAAACTCAAGGAATGGGTCAATTTAGACGGGAATAAAAACACCAATATGTGTTGCATGCTAACGTGACCGCATTTGTGAAAGTACACAATCAATATACGTCAGGTATGGTCACATCTTGTTTAATTCACCCGTGTACTTTACATATTTCAACCTTTTAAAGTTGGCATACAGTGTACTGGGAATAGTGCGAAGTTTCTAAAATTCTTTGCGTGTTTATTTTTTAGCCATATTGCATCATACTATTGTAGACATTTTATAGTATATCTTAATAGTAAAATATAAGAAGTTAAACATTTCATTAACTTGCTTTCTTGCTTTGTTGTATTCTATGAAAAACCTAATTGCTATTGCTATTCCAGCAATGAACATTAAAGTTTAAATCATAATTGACAATTCAGTGGGTCATACACCATGCAAGGACTGTCTAATTTTGGGTCGCAATCTGTATTACATGAAGCCAATATTACGTCATGATTATAATTAAAAAAACGTCCAAAATTTTGTATGGAACAAATGTATTTTTAAATTCCAATTGACTATAAAACACTACATTTATTGAACAACAACCATATTCTTTTCAGACGGAAATTTAAAAAATTTAATTAACAATATTTGTGATATTTACTTTATGCGTCAGCCAAATGAGTTAATTTTTGGTGCGTTTTTTGTTGAAAATCCTACAATCGTTTAAAGCAATGCGGTGTAACAAAAACTAGCTTTCAATGTACATATGCTGGTGTTTGCCACGCTTAGACAGACTTGTCTGGAAAGCAAAAAATGCCAGATTTATCTATAGAAAATATGTTAATTTATCTACATACTGCATTCCTCACCAATTCATTTGCATTGAAATGTAGTTTAGCAGTATATATATGGATCGTTTCTACCTGATTAGCTAAATATGTGTACTGGAAGATTGTTCGTTTATACAGTGGTTGACATCAACAAGAAGAAGACCTTGGCAGTATTTCGGGAGGAACCATTTGGAATTCTTCATTTGCAGACGTAGATAAGATATTCTGTTACATTCATGTTTCATTTATTTTGATCTGAGGAAAATGGATTTATATATAATTATTTAAACAAAAAAAATCTTTGAGGACATTTGGGGAAAAGTATGTAGAGTGAATGCGTGCCTAACAAGGACCTTGTACATAAAATGTGATTTTTGCAAACGTTAATCCTCCAAATAGCATTAAAATATTTCAAATAAATTGTTTTCGTTTACATGTTCTCATTTGTGTGACGGGTAATACCTCGAGGATATGTTTTTTTTTCATATTAGACTCATTTGACAATATCATAAACTCACCACGAATAGAACATAACTTATTATTTCTTCGGTATCAGTTATGGTAATTTTCCTTGTATTATTTTAAAGCTAACATTGTCAATATGCCACCCTTATCATCGTCAACAACAAGAGATAAAAAGGCGCTATCATACAAACATTGAAATATCAACAGGCAACGCATTATATCGTTCTTATAACAAAATATTGAAAAAAAGCTCACAGATAGAGATGTTTTGAAATCAGATTGATATAACTGTACAATACCTTGGCCACATATCACCTGCTAAACCGCGTAGAATTAAACTGTCTCGGCAAAATAAAATGACCTAGGCCAAGCAAAGTGAGGTTCAGATTTCAGGATCATTCGACACACAGATCAGCAAATGTTTATTTTCAATCCCACTTGCCATCCATGCAGAGGTGTCGACGTCAAGTGGTTAATTTGAAAACGTTAAAGGTATTACAAATTTTTGAAAAATTTTGAAAATTGGGTTGATAGTGATTCCTTACAATTTTTATATTCACTGTTGGTGATAATGGCGCCCCCACAAATACAAAAAAAAAGAGAAAATGCAATAAACTACCTATAATTCATGCATGACCCTAAAACGGAATTTATCCTGTTGAGGGCCAGGAGAAAATGCAATGAATTATTGATAAAATATTGCATTTTCTTGGTTTTTATGTATTTGTGGGGGGGGGGGGGGTTGCGACGTACCCTAGCCCCCGCTGCGTACAGTCATGATTCAGTGGCTAAGCAATGGCATCGTTACTGTGAGGCCCCATAATAAGAACCGTATCTGTCAGCTATATTAGTGCCCTTTTGTGAGGCATTAATCCTCATTACTGTCAGTTTTGACTTAAGGACGTAGGTCCCCTAGTTAATTATCATAATAGCACACACATGCTTCAGCGGTCACGCAAAACAAACACTCGCAAATTATTATTCAATGAAATCTGAGAATGTATACTATTATTTAAATCTATTAGGAATAAATCATTGTCAAAATCATTCCATAAATTGGGGTTAAAATAATTGTTCCACCATTATGACCAACAGTGTATTTGGATGCCCTGTAGATGAATTATATGCACTAGAAAATTGACCCCCTAAAACACTTCTGTTTTCAAGTAAAATTGAATATCAAATTTACCGGTATTTAGTTGTGATATATAATTTCCGGGAATAGCCAATCGGTCGATTATCGTCATTAACATTGTTTTATAGTTAAATTAATATCTTGACCTTGGGAGGGAGCTATACAACATATAGAGCTAATTATTTACCGTGTCATCACTTTGGACTCGATTTCAGCCGCGAAAACGATTATTGAATATTGTAGGATTGCATATGCTTCCAATATGTCCATTTAAACCAAATTCATAACCCCATACCAAAACCTTGTATTACCTTTAATCCTGATGCAAAGCCTTGAGTGTGATATCCTGCACGGATATTTTACCTAAGCAAGGCCTCCATCCCCATGTTTATCCCCATCCAGGTATTACATGGGTATCGGTCAGTGGGAAAGCCTGTTGTGACATCATAAACCTGGCGCACACAACAAGATCCCGTTTGAGAAGAATTTGCAATAGCATGTTATGTTAACATCAAAATGTGTAAAATCTTTATGATCGGGGATATCAATAGTCACATGATAGATGCAATCTAAATTTCAAGGGATTTCGAACTTTCTTGGCGAAGGAAAAGCTAAATCGGCTCAAAATCGTAGTGACGTCAGATCAGTAGTGCGATTGTCTACGATCTGAAGCCGATTCGGCTTTAATTCTGACTAGGAGAGTTAAATGCACTAAAATATCGGTTGTTAATATAATATGACATAATTTAGAATCTAAATAAGGAGAATAGTGATGGTTTAGATGTCCATATCTAATTAAATAATAATAATAATAATAATCTGTTAACCGCCCTTTCAACGAAAATCGGATTGCAGGAAATGTTAACCATACAATCGACAAATGTGTTTGTTTTTTTTCTAATACGAAAAAGTTAAGATATAACACAATAAAAACCATGTAGTATTTTTGGGTAAAACTTTGTCATTTTTAGAAATGATAAAAATTAAAGTGAGGACAAAAGAAAATTTCCAAGACTTCGTATCTCTTCAAAAGAGATGGAAAATATCGAAATCTTTTCTACGGTAGCAGATTAAATATGAAAAGAATCCATTTTGTTTTTACTTAGCGAGAGACCTTGGGCGGAAGACCCGTCTAGTCAAATAAATGCATGTATTATTTGAAAGAGAGAAGTAGTCGTAACATGTTCGCTTTCGAATTGTGATTATCGACTATGACACAGAGTGGAGCCCTAGTGTCTATACCTTCAAGATCTCCCTAATAAATTTGGCTGAACAGAATTGATTGTATCATATACTTTCCCACAGGCAGTCTGGAACGAAGATACGATTAAAACCACGTGGTTACACGCAAAGCACGACACAAGCGTTATATAGAGTATGTGTCCATCGAATTATATAACATTTGTTAAGGGATATCTTAATATTTGAGTACGTAATGAAATAGGTACTGGACACAAATGTTAGTGTAAGTCAAATCCTACATATATATGTTATTTCAAAATACATGTATACAACACATTTTATGTTATAATGTCGCTATTACTAGTGGTATTATGTCTACTAAAGACTTTTGCGCACAAAGATAAAGCCCACATGATTTAATTTCAGAGACATTTTCAGAAGAAATAAAAATAGTCGACACATATAAGTGGATAATACCTATGACTCCAATGCAATGACTGTATGTCGAATTGCTAGTTTGCAATTAACAGATAGGAATGAAAATGGAAACCTGCACGCCTCATGAGGGGTGTTTAGTGAATGTACCTTCAGGGTTTGGGCTCGCTTAGAAATAAGAGCTAAAAGCCCCTTTATTGTCCCGCCTACTCCCTAGCAGACATGGAAGGCGAACATAAGTGTTATAAAAGCAGGTAGTCAGAGGAAGCACCTCAGGGGAGTCTACCAATATTAATATAATCAAGAGGTAAATGGTACCAGGATAATAACCCACTCACATATGCCATAACCCCACAATCAGAGATAAATATAACAGAGTGTAGAAGATATTTGACAGGTTTACACCTTAACAGTATGCACAATAATCTAAACTGTCACAATTCATTTCCTTTTCTCATACCGTCCCGTTTAAAAACCTTTCTCTGAATGAGATTGAAATCGCATGAAGCACTAATAGGAAAGGCGCACCATTCTTGTTTGTAATGGCTTCGTAGTGTGGCAATTAAAGCGTATCAGGTCGGTGAATAAAGCTTTAAAATGTAGAAGATTAACAATCTGTATACAAAGGACCTTTTTTCTAAAGAGTAGTATCTGTAAAGAGAAGCTTTGTAAAGTGTGTCGTACATCAAGATTATCTTTTTAGATAAACAACAAATGTAGGCCAAAAATGAATAAACATGTATATTTCCGATCGACCAATCACTGGATGGAATCACAAGTTAAAATCGATAGATACAGGACTCTTCTCAATTTACAATTCACACGAGAAAATAATTATGTGAATATAAATAGTGACGTCATAATTGAAATCGTGTAAACTGAATTAAATAGCAATGTAAATGGATATCACGTCATGGCCTACTGCAGTATCACAAAAGTCATGTGATACTAAATAAATGATAAAGGAAATAAAGTGTCAAATAAAGCATTTAATGATTATGTGCATAAATGAATTTTTACAAGGCCTCTGGATCCGATTTTAAGGGTAGGAAATTTGGAGTTTCTGCATGATTATTTTCATAATTCATTTTTCAAATGCTGAAATGGCGCCTCTACATCTACACACAAATATTCGTCCGATTAATATGTTTCTTTGAAAATAATGTTTGTTCATGTAAAATTAAGAGTGTTTTCGCACGAATTAAGATGTGTAATTAAAAGAAAAATCTGTCTCTTTTGTACCATCCAATGTTTTTGTTTCCTTCTCATCTTCTTCTTAGGAAATACCTTAGGAGGATCCATTTTCGCTTTCACGTTTATCTAATAGCTAGGTCGAGTACTGGCAGAAATTAAAATTAATTTCTGAGCATTCTAATTTAATATTTTCTTTAATCGTGTGGGAATATAGGGGCTGTTAAATATTGTTTTTTTTATTGTTGGAAATTTGACGAATTCATCATTATTATAGACACCTTTGCCTCTTGACTGAAGTCTAAAAATGGGGTGTTCACTTGACCCACAGTATGAATAAAAGTGTGTACATTAACACAAGTTTTTTTCGATCCCTTATTCTTCTTTCCTCTGGTTATCGTTTCCTGTTTGCCTATTCTCCTCTTGTTTTCCTTTTTCTTTGTCTCCCCTCAGCTGTCTTCCTCATCTCCCTCTAAATCAAACGCACCAGTAGGCATACAGGTTACATCTTTATTGTGTATATCTGCTTGGTGGCCTTTCTCTCTTGTTCTGCTTTTGCCCCATTCTCTCTATTTCTCTGTATACCTTTCCCGCCTTCTGCCTTCCTTCCTATTCTCCCTCTCCTTTCTTTTCATTTTCTTTCAATTTATCTCCCTTAATCTCCGAAGTACATTTTGATACATCACATATAAATTTAATCTTAAGAAATCTTTATAAACAAACCAGTCCTTGTATATTATCTTCCTTTTAGATTTCACATATTCAAAACCGACATGTTCATGTAAATGCTGTTTAGAACATTTTAAGGACATTTCTGGTCGTTATCCTTGTAGTCAATCGTCCGCTTCAACTTTTATTGTCAGTAATCATCATTGCTGAAACTGGAAAGGAAAGCGAGTTTTTAAACAGAGGCCATTGCAGGTCTTAAGTGAATCGTCTGCGAATGAAATGGACCGAACATAAGAACATACCGGCTTTTAGCAACGATAACATAAGATAACGAGATGTTTGA